ATGTCGTTATCTATTAGTTGAATTTGACTCACATTGGCGTCTAGATATAGTCAGAGTATTAGCGTTCAGAATGATAGTTTTTAGGTAATCAGGGTGAATGTGGTTTAGGAATTGTTTAAAGTCCATCAAGCCATCGTTAGAATAGGCAGAGAAAGAACGAAAAACCTGCAGTAGAAAACATTTAATAGGCTTGTTATCGAAGAACAAGAAGTGGAGAAGGACATGGTAGTTGGAGGAGCATTTATTTAGCACTGAAAAAGGATTGAATATCTATTTATTCACTTTTATATACCGTTTAGGTGTGTGTGTGTTGGTGTTTTCTGGATCATTTCCGTTCGCTGGCAGGGATTTTTTGACAAAAATTTTTCGCGGCACAGAAAATTTCCATTGAACCATCAGTAATCATTTGAAAATCAAATTTCGGAGAATTCAGTTTTTTTTTTTTTGAAAAAAGCGCTTCATACAGCGCCGTAGTATCTAAAATAAAATTGTGTTTCATAAGCGTCGTGTGTCTGTTACGTCTTTTGCACTTATATCTCACAGAACGGAGCGTCTTTCTCAAACTTTAGTACTTATTCTATAGCGTATATCACGTAGATTTCGAAAATCTATAAACTTTTCGAAAAACCTTTGTTAACAGCGTTTTATCAGCGAGAAAATATTTGTGTTTCACAAACACGTATTTTTCGCACGAGAAAGCTCTTACCAAGACTTTCAAAACCCATTCGATAACGCAAGTTTTGGCCTTTTTAGGACTATGCTTAGTTTCAAAAAGACCATTTTAGTGCACTGTAGCAGGTAAAATAAGATAGGTAGGTCTACCGCGTACCGAGATCGATCTAACGCACACCGCCATAGAAGAATTACCTTGTAGCTCGATTCACAGGTGGCGCACGATCTTCATCATTGAACTTAGGAATTTCCCCGCCTTGGAGAACTCTAGATAAAGCATATGACTGTACTGATTGAAGATTTTCTACACACGTTCATATGGTTTTCGTGCTCAGGCTTAGGCTGCCTAGGCTTTAGGTTTAGGAATGAAATTAGTAGCGGTTCTATTTGGCAGCATTTAATGAAAATGAAAAGCTTAAGCAGTGTGAGGATATATCGAAGTTTGTTCCACATTTCAAGTGCAAAAAACTTAGAAGTCTTCACGAGACGAAGAAACATTCTTTCAATAAATATCAAAGTCCTTGTGAAAACGCGCGACGCGTGTGAAATATGGTTTCATCTTGAATGCCGTAGAGTTGTAAAAGGCTTTCTTAGCCGAAAACATTTTTGAATCTCCGAGGTTTACGCTATCGCACAAATACTGGACAGTTTAAGAGAGGTTTCATTTTTCGCCTCTAACAGGAAAGAAACAGGCTTTTTCAAGCAAACAAACACTTTTTGAAAATCTAAGAGATCTACCTTAACGAATAAGTTGTAATAGTTGAGAAAAAGCCCTGTCCTACAAGATATAAGCGCAGTAAAACGGAAAAGATCCACGCGCTTGTGAAAATAATTTTATTTTAAGTGTTACAGCGCTGTGAGAAGGCCTTTTAAAAGATATTACATTTTTGGATTCTCTGAGATTCAAGCTTTGGAATGGTTACTGACATTTCATGGAATGTCTTTGTCCAGCAAAAGAGAAACCTTTAAGAAATTCCTGCCCGCTAGCGGAAATGATCCGTGTATTTGAATAATCAATAGCTTTCTTCAGACCAATAATAGATAGCACCACTCCGATCTCGCTGTCTTGACTTGCGGTTATCGCTATTCTACGGTCTCGTACATGACCAAGGTGGTGACGTCTCGCAATATATTATAATTCGAATATAAATCAATGTGAAAGTGTTTCCTATTCAATGGGATAATTATTAGGGTAGATAGGAAAGTTTATAGTTGTTTGTGTCTTTTTAAAGTTTATAGTTGTTTTTGTCCTACTCAGTTGTGGAAATAAATTCTTGGTGTTCCAAATCGTAGAATATACTGATAACTGCTGAGTTTGAATAAATGTTTGTTTATACCTTGTCATTGTCTTTTTGAGCCTCAGTCATCAGTTTCATTTTACATTCGCTACTGTAACTTCTATATGCGATTGATTCATACTGGGAAGTGCTGAATTGTTTGAATGGTGTAAGGGGTTTTTGTGACTGAATTTTCTTCACGACGTTCTCAACGACCTTTGTGATCAAGCGATAGCTTTTTTTCAGCAAGAGTCTTAAACATCATGGTGGGAGAAAAATTTTGTAGTGAACATCGGCCTTCACTAAACCTTGGGGTGGAAGATCAGTTTCCAGCTTTATTAGGAAGTCTACACAAGAATACGCTATAAGTGCGTTTGTGTCCAGTCACTTTTTTAGAAGTGCAATAATTGGAGTCGAGTGCCGTTGAAAGCTGTCTATTCACAACATGTAGTCTTCTTCGTAGTGCTACACTGAGTTGAATTGAGTAGCATTGAATAATTGCATCGCGGGTATGACGATGGCGATACCGTCGAACAGTTAGGCACGAAAGACAACGGATCTCACGTATCCTTCTCTGAGAATAAATCACGATACTCTCTTACATTTACGACAGTTTGCGAGAAACTCTCTTGAGAAAACGTTTGTCTTGGTAAATGTGCTGGGCCTAATCCACATGAATTAAGTTGAAAATGCCTCGTGGACATTTCAGGAAACGAATAGTAAGCTAGAGTCGCTGAGATTTACTCAGTAAATGTGAAAGACAGGTTGTGTGAAATTAGAAATATATATAAGATAGATAATGAATGCGCGCTGTCGCGGAAAAGCATAGGTATAATGGCGTTTAGAGTCTATATCACAAAAATATCAGGTTCCAAGTTTTGCATGTATCTGGGCGTTTTTGTGATCAAATATGCGATATATCTTTCGGCTGGTACCCTTTGCTAGGTAGTTGAGCTTTTTTGGAGTCATGAACCTAAGGTAGGGAGTATGCAGTTTATCAGAACGATCGTTGAGTTTGTTTATTGCGAGTTCTAATAGTCTCTCATGTACTCGATTGGAGGGTTTTAGCAAAAGTGATACGCAGTACATGATCTGCATATAGTATAGGGACTCATGCATAAGTTATGATTACGTGGAGGAAGTATATGTTAACCTGTCATGGTAGAAACAGGAAGTTGAAGTCCTAATTTTCCTCCATCTCTCGACTGCATTGAAACGCTCGATCGATTATCATGATTAAAAGTTGAGAACTCATTGTCTTGAGAGTTTCACAGAATAATAAAATGAGCGAAAAAACCCGTGTAAGATTCTCCGCGGCTGCTCTCCAGCAGTAAATGGAGAAATCAAAAAGAAAACTACTTCGAATAAGGCAAAATCACAGTTGTGAATAACAAGCTTGCGTCTGTATTATGGAACGATAAACTACTAATCAATGGCAAAGTTACTAAGGAGCTGGTCCTGGTATATGTCGTGCATGACGTACCAGTAGAGGCTTCTACCGTAATGAACATGTAAATCCTCCGTTGGAAACCTGATCGTAGACACGGATGAAACCTAGGTGCGACAAGGTTAGGGTGGCCTATATTAGAAGATGCCGCTCATTCAACACCGTGCTAAAGCTGAATTATTCTTATCGTCAACAAGAAATTGGTGATAAACATTGATTTCTTCACAGAAAATACAAACAAAATCGACTTTGTACGTTTGGCGAGATGTAGTTCAGCACCGATTAACCCTTTCGGGACCAAAGACTCAACTCTCTGCGTTTCTAAGTGGCAAGGCGAGACGGTCTGCTCCACCTCCTGCTCAACTCTAACTCCCAGCGTAGGAAACGCTAGGCGATCTTCTGCACCTCGTCTGCGACGTGGAAATCGCTGTCTGTCTCACTTCTCTTTGCCACTCGGCACCAAGCAAGCGACGAGCACTCCGCAGTGAAGGTTGCTGGCTCGATACCCTACCACACCGCTCCGCAGTTTTTTTGGGTCACCTTTTTGATGTCGATCACTAGTAAGGATTCTTCTATGACGTAATCGTTGTAGCTAAAAACGCCAAGTTGTCTAACAATTCACTGTTTTCGATTAATAACATAAATTCATGGGGCGGCAACGCTTATTCACTTTTTATGCTGTGAACGACAATGTGGTAGTTCCTACTGTAGTTTGGTTAGGAATGAGAATCCAATATACGTGACCTACTTATTTGTTTCCAGTTCAATATCCCCACGAGTTGCAGATTGCTGAAGAAATGTTAATTATTAAATTGAATACATTGATCGCTTGTGTTACGGTGTTACTATATGAGATATGGTGTGATATGGTCGTCAGCGACTCAATCATAATATAGTGGAAACAAAAAGATGACAATAAAAAAAACTACAGTGAAGCGTCATGGTAGGAGATCGAACCACCAACCTTGAGTGCGGACTGCTCGTCATGTGCCATTGTGCCGAGTGACGAAGAGTAGTGAGACAGGCTGTGATACCCACGCGGGGGTTTAGAGCTGCAAAGGGGGTGGAGCGGCGTTTAGACTTGATAATTAGACACGTAGAGAATTGGGTCCATGGTCACGAAAAGGTAAACAGTCTTCGTTGTTTCCACAACCACATCAGAGCGTGACGAAAACGGGTGAAATGCTCTTTGTGGACTTCAAGGAGCTCTGACTGATTCACTCTGAACAACCAATACCTAGAAAGAAAAAAAGGCAGAAAAGATTCAAGAACTAAATTTTGGAACGGAATGAACAGGTGCAGTAACAACACGAATATACCATAATGAATTCAACCGCATAAAGTTATATAAAGTTCTGGGAGCATTCTTCTCGGCTTGAGATAGAATTTTCTACCAAAAAAGCATGCCAAAACGGGTTCGACGAGGTACGAAAAACTGAAGGCTCACTTTACTAGTGTCACTGTTTTGCAACAATGCGAAACCTTTGCCTCTTTTCAGTAAAGGTTAACAAAAATCGAATGGAAGTATTCTGAACCTAACCGCATTTAGCGGTGATTAGATTTTATAGATAAAGGCAGTGATGTAGAGTGATGTGCAAAGCTATCGCGTTAGGCGGGACTCGAACCCACATCTCACTCTATCTAGGAGTGTGTGCTCTAACTCGTTGCACTACTGATGCTCATTTTGTGCACCACTCTTTCTACACTACAACGCATCTATCTGTCAGCCGCCAATCGTCAACGTCCTGGCTCGGGCAGTTGGTATCGACATTGAACCCACTCATGCTGGGAGATATTTGGGTATCAAAGATCAAATCGAATTAATTTTCAATCAACCGTATTTGGCGGCGGTATGATTTTGTAGATATACTCAGCGATGTGATGACTGCACTCCGATGCCCTGACGGGACACATACATCTTCCAGAAGGGCAACGGAGGAAAATCATCCACCATTACTACTCGGATCTCGTCGCTAGCTATGCCCTCTTACCGTCATATAAATTGAAAGAGGATGAATACGTCATTCAACCGGTCCTCCCTTCCGAAATCCGACATGCTAAATCGTCGGTGAAGAACAGAACAACACCCGGTCTAGACAGGATTAGACCAGAACACCTGAAGAACCTACCGCCACTTCTCATCAACATCCTGGCTCAGCTCTTCGCTCGCTACCTGTCAGAATGCAAGATTCCCACTCAATGGAAAATCAGCAAGGCCGTGTCAACGTTCGAAAAGAGAGACCTTCACTACATAGGCAATTATCGCCCAATCTGCAAAAATTCATAAAAAAAACCCCCACTGAAAAATTATTAAAAACGCATGCGCCATTTAATCAGGTTAATCTCTTGGATTTATGTTGTTTTTCATGGTGTTTAATTCTAGGTTGCTATTAGGTGTTTTAGTTGTTCCAAAAGGGAGACCTTCACGAATAGGCAATTATCGCGCAATCTGCTTGCAGTCCCTTGTCTATAAACTTTTCACTCGAGTCATTCTAAACAGGGCTGACAGAACATTGAACGAAGGGCACCCATGCGAACAAGGCGGGTTCCGAAAAGGATTAAATACCATAGACCACATCCACACGATTACAAGATTCATTGCAGTTTCACGAGAGTACAAACAACCACTCTTTCACACTTTCATCGATTTGAAGAAAGCTTTTGGTTCAGTGGAAACATAAGCGGTTATAGAGGCTCTGGATAACCAGGACGTGTCTACTCGGGACACAAAGATCCTTCGTGAGCTATATAAAGATTTCACTGCCAAAATATCTCCATTCTACACAATATCACCATCGGCGTAAGAAGGGGTTTCGACAGAGCGATACAATTTTGTCAAACTTATTCACTGCTACCCTCCAAAACGTCATGCGAACATTAGAATGAGACGATGGTGAAAATTGACGGTCGAAAATTAAACAATCTTTGCTTTGCTGATGACATCGTCCTCATAACACCAGGTCATAACATCAAACGGAACGAATGCTGGGCGATTTCGATAACGCCTGTGGAAAGATCGGTCTTCAACTAAATCTAACGAAAACGATGTTCATGAGGAACGGATGGTTTTGAATGCCCTATCTACGCTCAACGGAACGACAATCTCCGAATGCTCCAGTTACGTTTATCTAGGTCGTGAAATCAACATGATGAACGACTCTAGCTCCAGAGTTGAGCAGGAGGAAACGAGCGGCTTGGGAACGTTTAAGAGCATCGAAGATGTAGTGAAGAGGACTAAAAACATCCGACTCCGTGTCCACCTTTTCGACTCGACGATCATCCCTGCCTTAACGTATGCAGCAGAAACCTGGTCGCTACGTAAGCGGAATGAAAGATTACTTGGCGTTATCGAACGCGCAGTCGAAAGGTCGATGCTAGGAGTATCCCATATCTCGCAAATGAGAGAAAAGATCCAGCTTCCGACTTATGTCAACGACTGAAAGTCAGAGACGCCGTTCTTCAAGCCAGGATATCGAAAATAAGGTGAGGCCGGACATATGATGCACTTCAAAGACAACTGGACGAGAGCCGTTACCGGCTGGTTTCCTCGGGACGTTAAGCGCTCTACAGGATGACCACCGACACGGTAGTCTGATTCCTTCACGAAAAGTGTAAAAGAAAGATATGATGCTCAGCGCATCCCTAGAGCGAGGAGGACCCACTGAGGTACTCTTACACGCGATAGGGAAAAATGGAAATGTTGCTGGTACCCGTTCGAGTCATTCGACGAACAACGGGACGGCAAGTGATACAGGTAATACTCAAGGATAGAGTGATGTGCAAAACTTTCGCGTCAGCCGCGACTCGAACCCGCATCTCACTCAGCCCGTGAACGCGTGCTCTACCCGTGGCACTACTGATGCCCATTTTGCACGCCACGCTTTCTATGCTACAGCGCATCTGTCGTAGAAAGAGTGGTGTGTAAAATAGGCGTCAGTAGCGCACCGGGTTAGAGCACGCGCTTCCGGATCAAGGTTAACAATAGAAAAAATATAGGAAAGAATTTGAGTAGCATCACTATCGACTAAGACACTTGAAACACCTCCATATTGCTGCTCAAAGATTGTCGAATGTGAACACCAATGCTGGATTCGTAAATTCTCTCCGCTTGAAAATTGATGCAGCTTTTATGAAAGCATATTTGCAGAGAAATTCGTCCGAGTGCAGATATTACTTTACGAAAACTGATATGCATAAAACAGAATGGGAGAATATTGCTGGTTTTTAGGTCGTCGATCAACTCAAAATATGTGTTTTGGTAACCACGATAAAACATGAATCTGGTTCCAATTCTTCGTGGTGTATTAAAAATTGAAGAACCATCAATCACACATGTAATGTAGAACATCTCTAACTACTGCATTACACCCTTTTAGTGGCATAAAACGTAGCAATAATACAAGCACTAATAAAATGAATCGAGTTATAGTCGATTTCGATAAGGCTTACCTGGAACAGGAAACGGGAGGCCTTATATCTGACTGAGCATGAGGAGAATGGAACGAATATGTTTGTGATGAACCATTCTCACTTTACAAGTGAATTCGTACCATGGGTAAGAGGAAAATCTTGTCCAGCAAACTCAGGAGTCTGAGAAAGTAGTGGAAATAACAGCCGACTTCACTGTTGTCTTATCGAATTTACTGTTTGTATGTACATGTGCGAAAGTTTGACGCAATATAGGTATGATTGTTGTGTGATCAATGTTCCTAAAAGTTAAATTTTGTTGGCCGTCCAGCATCAAGGACGTTGAAATATGAGGAGACGCAGAAATTAATCTCTATGAAGATCCCGAATGAAGCAGCTTCCGGACAGTAAAGTCTTGCGGGATGAGCATCGTAATTTTTGATCACTGTTATGTTATAGATGTTTTTTTCACGTAATGAGTAGTCTTATTAGTATGCATTTTCATCATTATAACCCTAATGTCACATTCCGTAATGTGAAATGATCTCCAACACCACCAAAATTCAAATCATTTATTGAAAAAAAAAAACAAACGAGATCGAGAGGAGAGATATGAAAAAGTACATGGATGAATTTCGCCATGATTTCTGACTTCTTATGAGTACGAAAGGAACACAAACGCGGATGTGAAGGTCGTCGGAACGTTGAAACACTGAACTTATATATCGTTACTTTTCCGGAAACTCTTATCCCGCATTTCTCCATATTTCCGTCGAAGTATTGATTTAAACTTTTTGGAAGTGACCGAAATGTAAAGAAAATATTGGCAGGCCACTACTATTAGCGCCGCATCGTTTTTTTCTGGAATAATATCCTGGAGAATCTATAACGTTAACCAATGGTGTTACTAAATCACGATAAACATTAATCGCTCTCATAGCGCAGAAACAAAAACAACATAAATGTATATTGGAAACTAGATTCTGCCGTCTTCTTCTTACTTTTTTTATCTACAATTAATTTATTTTTTGGTCTTTGTTATCGCGTTTCATATCACTCTATAGCTCGTGATCTCGAGATTCTGAATATTTAGGCCCTTTTATTCTCTGTGATTGCATAAAATTTTTTTATTACGATGGAAATTGAGTTCCATCGTATTTTTTACGTTATTTATCTACAATAAATTATTTCTAGGTCTTTTTCATCGTGTTTATGTCATTCGAAAGCTTATTATCTCGAGATGTTAGGTCTGTGAACCATTTTATTTTTTGTAGCTACAAAATTTTCTTTTACTTTAGAATGAACACTTCAAAACTTTAGCCGTGAACGTTTCTTGAACGTTTCACCTAGGCCATTCTGCCATCGAAGCAATACAAAACTATGAAGAACACTTGACCACAAGGCGGTTCAACTATAACCTACACAAGGATGGTTCAAAAAGTTTTGTGAAGGCGACAACTACAATGTCAAAATTGGCAGCGACAGCTTTATCGAAACGGCAAGACAACGCTCGCCCACATTTTGCTCGTCTGACATTGCAAAAGATTGAAAAATTAGTGCGAGAACATTCAATTCATCCACCATGTATCTCAAATGATGTTCCAAGTGATTATCATCTTTTCAGAACTCTGAAGCATTCTTTGGCAGTAAAACGCTTTGCCAAATTCGATGACGTGAAAAAGCACCCGTATTCGTTCTAGAGTAAAAAAATTTATATAGTTACAAAAAATAAAATGGTCCAAAAAAGACTAGAGATTATGTCTATTCTGAATAGATATAAATAACAAAAAATAAATAACAAAGAAATACGACAGAACTTAGTTCCCAACCCAATGATATCGATGGATCTGAAATTTGGAAACGTGAACAAATGCAGGAAAAAACTAATCGCCTCATAACGATGATGATGAGAATCCACAGCATGATTTAGTTAATAAATAAAACCCTCCTGTTCAGATTGATTGTAGTTGTCGTTCTGCTGAACGATGGGAATCACGGTAGGAAGGTGTCAATATTAACCTAAGGTCCTTCAAAAACCTATTCAATAAGTTATAAAAATAAACAATCATGTTTGAGACGGGATGGAGCAAAATAATCAAACGACTAGAGTCAATGATATTCAGAGAAAGTCGTCGTTGTCGGCAGCAGTGATGTCAGTAGAATAGCTTGGCAACGTTTGAGGAGCCGATAGCTGAGCCTGAAAGAACAACTCAGCAAACGTCTCTGCAGTTCATGTGAAAGCAATGCAGATTATGTCCTTGCAGTCCATATT